AAAAATTTTTTTTTCAAAGGAAATAGTATCACTATATGAATAATAATAATTATTATTGATTTTTTAGATTGGTTGTAATAATATCATCCATCTTGTAATCATTTGTCAGATTTTATTTTAAAAATCATCTTTACTAGACATAGTTGGTGTTGATAGCAAAATCATAATAAGTTTATTTACATAATAACTATATTTAACATGTTGCCTCTCATCTTGATTTAGATCAATGCTCCTAAAACAAGTCTGCTAATTTTGAGTAACACTTCTATATAGCCAAAACAAAGATTATTATCATGTAAAAACATTTATAGTGCAAATGTGATTTCTAAGTAAAATTATCATCACTTGCTATGGTGTTTTACAATTCTGCCAATTTTTGGTTGTTTTGAGTGATATAATATGCCATAAATAGGTGAAAACATAAAGATTAAAAATATTTATGACATATATCAGGAAGATGACATATATCAGAAAGATGATAACTCAAATATTGAAAACATAGTTCAAAAAGATGACAACACAAATCTTGAAGAAGATACAATTATAAATGACAACATTAATCAAAAAATGGACAAGGAAATGGATTAAGACAATTCGTTGGTTAAAGAAGTTGAATTGCAAATTTTGTGAATTAGGGCTGGTACTAGGGGATGGGGGTTCAACACGAATGTTACACATGGTTTTGCTGATTACCAAACCTTTTTCATAGATGCCGAAATTAATTTTATTAATTGCAGACATTATTTCTGAAATACTTTTGGCCAAATAGTTGTAATTCTGGTGGTTTTTTATATATATCTATTGATATAAATAATATTGTAAATCCGAAATTGCTTGCCAAAATTGGTTTTTCCCAAAATCCATTTCAAATTAAAATGTAGATCATTGATAGATTGGATGTTATAAGAAAACTTAAACTTTTATTACTAATAAAAAGTCAAGGTCAGAAAAAATATTAATGGAATACTTGTGCAGAATTTGGAAGTGGTGTTATTTAATGTGACAGTGCTACTTTTCTAATAGCATTTTTTGATTTTACTTTTCACATATAAATTGTCAATCTTTTTTGAAAATATATATTAATATAGATTTAACCAACACCAATGGTTCACATTATTATTTTCTTAAACCTCTAATATATCTTTTATTTTATTACAAGTATCTCTTAATGATGGTTTTCCTTTTTGTCATTAAAAAAAAAGAGCCTATAT